AAAGTACTTACGGCAAGTAGGTTTGTGATCTATCAAACATGGAGTACGCACAGCTGCACGCAATTTATGCTTCATAAATCGGAGACTAACGAGAATGTTTCTCAGCTGCTTTTTAGTCGCATCCAGCCCTCACCATGCCCACTTACTGCCATAAATGGTCAGTGCAAAGTGCCTTGTGGATCTCATGGATATACATAAGCCGGCTTGTTGCAGTGCTCCGCCAATGACATGGCGACAGTAGATCAAGGCAGATCAAGGAAGCGCTATTTCATAGAAGCAGAAATTGAGGTACTTGTGGGTGAGGTGGAGAAATGAAAGGAAGTGCTTTTGCAAAACAAATAAGAGAAAATCCACGGAGTGGCACAGCGTTGCTGAAGCCGTTAATGTTGTGAATTCTTCACAGAGATCTGTGGCGTATATAAAAAAAAAGGTCCAATCGGGATTGGATCCCCAGACTCCCGGGTAAAAGTCACGCGTGCTAACCAGTCACCCAAACGGAGATCTCCCTTGTCCAAGTAGCCAGGGCGCATGATCAATCGGCTCACAGTGAACGGACTCGCACTGTCACAGACGCATGACATTCTGTCTCAATCTGTCCCCCTGCTGATATTCTGCATTCCGTATTCTGCGCTTCAGGCTATATGATTGTGTGTGAGTGCGTGCATGTGGGGGGGGGGGTCTTGCTCTGTGTGAAAATGAAATAGTACAAGTGACAATGCTGCAGGATTTCATAATTTTATCTCCTCGGCACTGCAGGTGCTCTCCATGTCCAACATGTGCGTAAGCAGGTACTTAGTTAACTTAAAGTTGCGCACATTTTTCCGCTAAGTTTTTTTTTTTCATAAATCTCAAAGTTTGCGTGGAACGTTGCTTACGCAGTTTTCCGACCCCGTTTTGTAGCATAAATGAGGCCCCAGGTGTTTTTCATCAAAGGGCTTGTCCGTAGACTGAGAATCCCGGTTGAAGAATAGGCTGGAACGGTTCGAGTCCTCATCCGTTGATCAGGATGGTTTCAGTCTTAAGTTAATGAGTTCCTTGAAGTCCAGGTCTGGAATGCAAGAATGGAGTTTGGGATGTGAAAGCGCACAGTTCATCTTCTCAATAGGGAGACATCAGGGTCCTTCCATGGTGTGTTGAGGTGGTTGTCCACCTGTCAGGTAGCTGATCTTGTCCCCGAAAAGTCCTTCAGATCCTTTGACCATGAAACCACGTTGAAGATTGGGTGCAGGTGATTGAAGTAGTTCTCCTTTTCCAGTGTCTCTTCTTCGCTGTGTCCTGTCGTAGTTGCATCCAGGGGGTCTTCAGCCGAGTTGGGTGCAGATTACTTTGTCATGTAATAATAATAATGTTAATAATAAATCTCACAACACACAAAGTTGTGATTTTTTTATTTTATTATTTTTTTTGCTTTCCTGAAATATTTAGAGTGTTTAGAGCTTTTAATAGTTTAAATCTGTTAGATTGTTACTGGTAGCAGCTACATTTAAGTGTTTCAGTTTTCCTTTTGACTTTTGTGATGCTTCATGCTTCAGCATGTAGGTGTAGATTCTCAGTCATCCTGGACACCGTCAACCTAAGAGATTTAATGAAAACATCTGGACGTTTCTGATTATTAACTCTCATCCAAGAGACATTTTCAGCTCTAAACCTTGGGTTGTGAGCAGGCTTAGAAGTTGTGGTCAAAAACAATCAATCAATCAAAGCTTTATTTATATAGCACCGTCCTCGCGACTCTGTCGAGAAGCCCAAGGCGCTGAACACGGTACATGAGAAATGTGAAACTTGATGAGTAAATCGATAATAAAAGCAATTCAAATAGAGCAAAAGAGGTAAATTGTTAAAGTAGAAGACAAATGGGTAAAACAAGGAATAAAGAGACCAATGAAAGCAGGGAAATGAAATCAACATAAAAGAGGGACTGACTCAAACACGTTCAGGAAACGCCAAGCGGAGGAGGTGGGTTTTTTAGGCGACTCTTAAAGCCTGGCAGAGATGGGGACAGCCTGACTGAGGGTGGCAACTGGTTCCAGAGTGACAGGGCTAGGACTGAGAAAGCCCGGGCCCCACGAGCACGACACCTAGAACGAGGGACAGCGAGCAGGCCCTGGACAGAGGAGCGCAGAGCACGTGATGGGGAATGTCTGTTCAGGAGTGTGGCTAGATGGGGGGAGCACCACCCTGGAAGAAATTGTAAACATAGATGAGGAGTTTAAAGTGTGAACGATAACAGACCGGAAGCCAGTGCAGGGAGGCCAGAACCGGACTGATGTGGTCCCGTTTCCTGGTCCAGGTCAGGAACCTGGCTGCGCTGTTCTGCACAATCTGTAGGCGACGCAGCGATGACTGACCCAGTCCAACATATAGAGAGTTGCAATAATCAAGCCTAGAAATTACAAAAGCATGGAGTTACCCGCTCCAGGAGGGCTCTCGATAGCATAGGCTTGATTTTTGCAAGGCGTCTCAGATGAAAGAAACTGGACCGGATCACAGAGTTGATGTGAGCATCAAATTTAAGTCCAGCGTCAATTTTCACCCCCAGACTTGTGACAACTGGTTTTGAGTAGGGAGAAAGAGGGCCAAGATCAACATAACGACCCACAGCCCTGCTGTTGGGGTGAAAAACAATGAGCTCTGTCTTTCCCTCATTCAGATACAGATAGTTGGCCATTGGTCAAGATTTCACCTCGTTAAGACAGGACTCAAAGGACTGGATAGAGAGACCTTTCTCTTGACGCAATGGAGAGTAAATCTGGCAATCGTCAGCATAGAGATGGAACGCTAGGCCATGTTTACGAAAGATCGACCCCAGAGGAAGCAGATAAATGGCAACCAAAAGAGGACCAAGGATCGATCCCTGCGGGAACCCCCCAGCGGAGCCCCTCCCAACAAGGGAAAACATCATCCAGTTTAACACAGAATGTCCTGTTGTGGAGATACGATCTGAACCAATCCAGTGCAGACCCTTTGATCCCAACCCATCATTCCAGGTGATCAAGCAGAATCGCGTGGTCAACAGTGTCAAAAGCTGCCGTCAGATCTAACAACAGAAGCACCACAGATGTACCCTGATCTAGTGATGGATAGATATCATTTACGACCCTCAGTAGAGCCGACTCTGCTGTGGCCAGACCTGAACCCTGATTGGAAAACCTCAAACAGATCAGAGTCAGCTAAATGTGAGACCAGCTGCTGATAAACTACTTTCTCAAGCAGTTTCGATGTAAAAGGCTGGGTAGAGATAGGCCTGTAATTTTTGATCACAGAGACATCAGCACCAGGTTTCTTCAGGGTCGGCCGAACAACTGCTGCTTTCAAAGCAGCTGGGACCACACCTGTGCTGAGGCTCCCATTGATAATCTGACCAAGTGATGGGCCAAGACACGGAAAGGCAGCCATCCAGAGACGAGGCGGCAGAACCTCAAGTGGAGAGCCAGATGGCTTCTGCTTGCAACGAGCTTACTCAGTTCAGAATAAGAAATAGTATTGAGGGAGCTCAGGGTGGGTGGTGATGGAGGAACTGGAACAGGGTCAATAGAGTTACCAGAAATAGCTGCTGTAATGCCCGATACTTTGTGAACAGAGAATGTGTAAAAATCTTCAGAATTTCCAGCAGCTGTAGGAGACATGAAGCTAGGCTCCTGATACACCAGAACAGAGTTCAGTGTTTTGTAGAGAATCTTGGGATTCTTCGTTTCAGTGATTTCTGCAAAATATGCAGTTCTAGCAACCCTCACTACATCCTGATAAGCAACCAGAGATGCTCTGAACAACTCATGCAAGACCTGTAGGCCATCCTTTTTCCACTTTCTCTCAGAGGATCTACACGTCCGCCTACAAGCCCGTGTGACCTCAGAGAGCCAAGGCTCCCTCCTAGGCCTAGACTTACAAAGCTTGAGAGGGGCAACCACGTCCAGGACCTGATTACAAAGTAAATCAAAGTGTTGTGAATAGAGCTGAAACAACTAATCGATTTAATCGATTATAATCGATTATTAAAATAGTTAACAACTTTTTTAGTCATCGATTAGTTGTTTAATAATCATATTTTACCGCATAAAGTCTATTTTTTACCACAATCTGACATCGGTTACAATCTGTTAAATTTGCCGCCAGTGTGTGGCAGTAATGAGCCACTGATCTACCAGTGGAGCCGTAGAAGAAGAAATGAGCCAATAAGTGCCCTCGGTTTTCATGACGTATCACGTTACTGACGCTCATCTTGCTGTGAGAGATGGCGGATCAACAAGAAATAAGGAAGAAAAATAGAAGCGACAAAACAAGAGAAACCCCGGACAAAAACCTCACGAGTATGGGAGCACTTCACTAGATGCCTTGAAAAGACCGGTGACCTGCAAAATATGCAAAAACCATGGCACGACGTCCCTAAGTGAACATTTGAGACGAAAACGTGGGGGCTGATGCAGCAGAGGAATGTCTGGTAAGTAACAGAAAATAAACAAGCTAACGCAGATCACATTTGGGACTTAGTGTTAGCTGAGTTTGTTATAGTGAATGTTAAACATGGTTTTTTTGCCGCGTCAGTTTACGGTGTTCTAGTTCTGATTGACTAGATGCAATCGTGAATCTCCTCCGTTTTGTGAATCATGCGCTTGCCAAATTTAGCACATCTGTTCATAAGAATGTTCTCGTTAAGAGAAAAACGGCACAAACCCATAACTGTGTTCCTCATTCAAAAAAGGACAACTCCGCGGAGAAAAATATACAGACGAGCTGTGTCCAGGTGAATATAACGCGGCATAGTTGTACGCTTTCAATTTTTAAATACAGGAGAAATTCAGAAAGTCCTTTTTTTAACTATTAAAAGGCTGTTTTACTATCTAACGCTGTAAAACGCCTCACAACACATTTTTGTCAAAATAAATGATCACTGTATATTGTTAATTAATTCAAATAATGTAATATTGATTTAGTGTTGTAGTGTGTGTGCTGCTTTATTTTATATGTGTACTTAATTCAGTTTATTTGTGTTTCTTATGCAGAAAAAAACAAGCAACGATGGACAACTACATGGGGAACAAGACACTCACCCCCAGCAATGCATACCACTTACAAACTCTATTCTAGATTCTACATTATTTTTATGGAATTTACCTCTTATATTTTGATGCCAAAAAATTATTCTGGACTGATATTTTGCACTGTTTAGCTCATTTTACACCGCTGACTGTGTTCATGTGCAATGAAATAGATTGCAGTCAACTGCACAATTCTCTTATGTTTTTCTTTTTCTTAACTGCAATGTATTCATCACTTGTATAGGTTAAATAGCTAAACAATAACAAACCGATTAATCGATTAATCGAAAAAATAATCGCCAGATTAATCGATTATGAAAATAATCGTTAGTTGCAGCCCTAGTTGTGAATAGTGATCAATGTTAGATGGATCTGGGTTAAAGGTCTCTAACCTTACAGACATACAGTCCACGAACATTGCAACCGTTTCTGCATCCAGGGCTCTGAACTTAGTAGCTGGAGCTTCACACACAGGGACAGGACATGGCAAAAAAAAACATCACAGAGTATTGGAAAGTGGTCAGAGAACACAGGAGGCAAAGTCTCAAGGTTCATGACAGGGAGACCAAAAGAGAGAACCAGGTCCAGGGTGTGATCCCCTGGCATGAGTTGGGGATGATACCCATTGAGTTAAATTGAATGAGTCTAGCAAATTCAAAAAGCCTTTAGCAGTTCAGACTACCCACCCTTTTTGGAGACCTTGGAGGGGGTGCTGGAAAGCGCTCCTTCCGATGACTCCCTCGTTCTGCTGGGGGACTCACGTGGGCAATGACAGTGAGACCTGGAGAGATGTGGTTGGGAGGAATGGCCCCCCTGATCTGAATTCAAGTGTTTTGTTATTGGACTTCTTTGCCAGTCATGGACTGTCCATAATGAACACCATGTTCAGACATAAAGGTGTCCATATGTGCTCTTGTCACCAGGATACCTTAGGCTGCAGCTTGATGATCGACTTTGTTGTTGTTTCATCTGACCTGCGGCCATATGTCTTGGACACTCAGGTGAAGAGAGGGGCAGAGCTGTCAACTGACCACTACCTGTTGGTGAGTTGGCTCAGATGGTGCAGGAGGATGCCGGTCAGACCAGGCAGGCCCAAACGTATCACAAGGGTCTGCTGGGAACGTCTGGCAGAGTCTCCTGTCAGAAGGAGCTTCACTTCCAACCTCCAACAGAACTTCCAAAATGTTCCGGGGGAAGCAGGGGACATTGAGTCTGAATGGACCCTGTTCCGTGCCTCCATTGTTGAGGCAGCCGACCGGAGCTGTGGTCACAGGATCGTCTGTGCCTGTCATGGTGGCAACCCCCGAACCCGGTGGTGGACACCAGCAGTTAGGGATGCTGTCAAGCTGAAGAAAGAGTCCCATCAGGTCTTTTTGGCATGTGGGACTCCAGAGGCAACTGATGGTACTGGCAGTCCAAGCGGAACGCTGCTCAGGTGGTCGCCAAGGCAAAAACCCGGGCATGGGAGGAGTTGGGTGAGACCATAGAGCAAGACTTCCGTATGGCTTCGAGGAGATTCTGGTCCACCATCTGGCACCTCGGGGGGGGGGGGGGGGGGGGGGGGGAAGCAGTGCGCTACCAACACTGTATATAGTGGGGATGGTGTGCTGCTGACCTCTACTCAGGACGTTGTGGATCGGTGGGCAGAATACTTCAAAGACCTCCTCAATCCCTCTGACGCGTCTTCCAGTGAGGAAGCAGAGTCTGGGGACTTTGGGTTGGCCTCTCAAATCTCTGGTGCTGAGGTCACTGAGGTGGTGAAAAAGCTCCTCTGTGGCAAGGCTCGGTAGGTGGATGAGATCCGCCCGGAGTTCCTTAAGGCTCTGGATGCTGTGGGGCTGTGTTGGCTGATGCGGCTCTGCAATAACATGTGGACATCGGGGGCAGTCCTACTGGACTGGCAGACCGAGGTGGTGGTCCCCTTATTTAAAAAGGGGGACCGCAGGGTGTTTTCCAACTACAGGGAGATCACACTCCTTAGCCTTCCTGGTAAGGTCTATTCAGGGGTTCTGGAGAGGAGGGTCCATCAGATTGTTGAACCTCAGATTCAGGAGGAGCAATGTGGTTTTTGTCCTGGCCGTGGAACACTGGACCAGCTCTATACCCTTAGGGGGATCCTGGAGGATGTGTGGGAATTTGCCCAACCAGTCTACATGTGTTTTGTGGATTTGGAGAAGGCGTTTCACCGCGTTCCTTGGGGAGCCCTGTGGGGGGGGGGGGGGGGTACTCCGGGAGTATGGGGTACCAGACCCTCTGATAGGGGCTGTTAGGTCTCTGTCTGACTGGTGTCAGAACATGGTCCGCATTGCCGGCAGTAAATCGGGCTCGTTCCCAGTAAGAGTTGGACTCCGCCAAGGCTGCCTTTTGCAGATGATGTGGTCCTGTTGGCTTCATCAGAACGTGATCTTCAGCTATCGCTGGAGCGGTTCGCAGCCGAGTGTTGTCAGGATGCCTCCTGGACGCCTTCCTGGTGAGGTTTTCCGGGCACGTCCAACCAGGAGGAGACCTAAAGGTAGACCCAGGACATGGTGGAGGGACTATGTCTCCCACCTGGCCAGAGAATGCCTTGGGATTCCCCCGGAGGAGCTGGCCCAAGTGGCTGGGGAGAGGGAAGTCTGGGCCTCTCGCCTTAGGCTACTGCCCCTGCGACCCGACTCCGGATAAGCGGATGAAAATGGATGGATGGATGGATTTTTTACCCAGCCCTAGTTGTTTATCACTTTGGACAAATCACAATTTGACATCTAAAAGTGGGCATTATAAAAGACCTCAGACATCACAGTGAGTATGAGTGCTGTCATTTTAGAAAGAAAGAAAGAAAGAAAGAAAGAAAGAAAGAAAGAAAGAAATCATTTCTATAGCACCTCTCAAAATAAAAATCACGAGTCGCTTCACAAAAACAAAAAATGAAAAAATGTAAAAAAGAATTTAGAAAATGGTTAAAATATATTTAAAATTAGCAAAAAATAACTTCTAACTTCTCGCAGCGGTTTTGAGCTTAAAGTTTGTCAAATAGAACAAAATCACCACTAAATAACAGTTTTCTGTCAAGGACTTTAGCAGATTGTAGATTTTTCCCGAGGCTGGTCGTGTTTTTTCCTTTTTTTTCTTTTGCGGGGGGTTGACTTTGGAGTAAACATCACCAATAATATTAGTAGCATAAATACTATTTCTGGTAAGAAATGGCCCCCAGCATGCTACAGCCTTACTCACATCCGGTTGCGCCGTAGGATGGCTGCACCGATGAGAGCTCCCAGTCATCTCAGCAAAAATGTTATTATTTACTTTGTTCTGCTTTCTATTACTGTGCGCACAGTGCGATCATACACTCGGTATGACAGACAATCGCTTCTGGAGCTACGATCGTCAGCCAATTCGGACTTTACAGCAGGTTTCGACTCCGTGGATGCTGTGCTGCCTGGGATCCTTTGGTTGCTCGCGTGGCGTCGAGGGAAAACAAAGAGGGGAAAGCGCGCCGGAGTTTTGTGCTGAACGCGACGAAGAAACAGCAAGCCACCTCTCCCCAGCATCCTGCTCGCGAATCTTCAGTCTCTGGACAACAAACTTGATGAGATGCGCGCTCGGATTAAACACCAACAGGACATCAGGAACTGCTGCGTTCTGGCCTTCATAGAGACATGGCTGGAGCCCAGCGTCCCCGACTGCGCCATCACGCCGGAGGGATTCACTGTTTACCGGGGAGACCGAACGAAGGCCTCAGGCAAGAAGAGGGGAGGAGGGGTGTGCTTTATGGTTAACTCCTTGTGGGCTGGAGATGTGAGTATTATTAAATCTTACTGCTCTCAGAGCCTTGAGCTGCTGTCCATTAAAGTCAGGCCTTTTAACCTCCCGAGGGAGTTCAGCTCAGTTCTCCTCTCAGCTGTGTACATTCCACCACACGCAAATAGAGCTACGGCTATGGACGAACTGTATGGCATCATTACTGGACTTGAGAATATCAATCCAGAAGCTGCCTTTATTGTGCTGGGAGACCTCAATAGAGCCAACATGAAGAAGGTTCTCCCTAAGTACTATCAGCACATCTCCTTCTCCACAAGAGGTGATCAAACTTTGGACCATTGTTACAGCCCTTTCAAAGAGTGTTACAAACCCCTCCCCCACCCAGCTTTTGGTAAGGCAGACCACTGTTCCATTCTGCTGCTGCCTGCATACAGACAAAGACTAAAACAGGAAAAACCAGCTTCCAGGGTTGTTCACAAATGGGACAGCGAGGTTGAGGGGGTCCTGCAGGACTGCTTTGAGACAACTGACTGGCAGATATTTGTGGATGCAGCTGATGGTAACATCAATGAACTCACGGACTCTGTCATTGGATATATTGGGAAGAGTATGGATGAAATCATCACAAAAACCACTGTCCGCATATATCCAAATCAGAAACCCTGGGTGAACAAAGATGTTCGTGCCAAGTTAAAAGTGCGGACCTCTGCCTTTAATTCCAGGGATGCTGATGCATATAAAGCAGCCAGGTATAATCTCCGAAAGTCCATAAAAAAGGCCAAGAAGGACTACAGGGACAAAACGGAGTCCAGCTACCACAGCTTCGACACCAGGCGACTGTGGAATGGACTGCGCTGCATCACTGATTACAAGAAGGTCAGCACAGTTGGTGTTCAGCCCACTGCATCTCTCGCAGACGAGCTCAACAACTTTTATGCTTGTTTCGATGAAGATAACAGAGAGCAGATCCTCTACCCTCAGGAGGACAGTGGGGCTGTAACCTTAACTCTGAAAACAGAAGCTGTGAGATGGACCTTTAAAAAGGTCAATCCTCACAAAGCTCCAGGACCGGACGGCATCCCAGGCCGGCTACTCAGAGTGTGTGCAGACGAGCTGGCAGAGGTTTTTACCAACATCTTCAACCTCTCCCTGAGGCAGTCGGTGGTCCCCACGGCCCTCAAAGCATCCACCATAATTCCTGTTCCCAAAAAAATCAGTGGTCTCCGTCATCATGAAGTGCCTGGAGCGGCTGGTCAAATGTCACATCTGCTCCTC